AACAAAGAAAATGAGTATTATTGAGAAACAAACTCAGAAAATCAACCAACGTAAAGACCAGGAGCTCACAATAGCTGAAAAAAACATACAGAAAAGAAGTGAGTAACGAAAAGCCCAAAAAAACTTAGAGGAAAAACAAGCAAAACCCCAAGTTAAAAAAGAAAACAGCACAGACTCTTAAATACCGACTACGGTTAACGTAAGAAAACAAAAACCTCTCGCGATCATTTTAAAAACGGTCGAAGAACATCAAAACATCCTGCAAAAAGCAGCAAAAAACGGTATTATCTCCGACAATAAATTCGCCAGGTGAGGTAGATCCATAGTAATTAACACAAAGTCAAGAGAAGATTACCTGGTTAAAGTTATCAGAGAAAAACATCCCCAAAGTTGAGTATATAGCGTAACCAATCGATAGCGAGAAGCTAAAGAGAGTAATACTAAAAGGGCTTTCTGCACAGAGATAATTCCAAACGAATTAAAAGAAAAGAACGTTAATGCTACAAGAGTCAGCAATATGACATTAAAAGAAAGGAAAAAGGTCTTGCATTATTTCATAGTCACCCTCAAAGAGGAAGACGTAACTAAAATAAAAAGCATTACAAATCTGTGCTATATGAGGATACATTTTGAAGACGAATTCAAAATGTCAAAAGATACCCTACAGTGCTTCAACTGCAAGGGGTACTACCATAACTCTAAGGCTTGCCACTGCACCTCTAGATACGTAAAGTGTGGAGAAAACCACCTTAGTAATGAGAGTAAGAAGCGTAAAAAAACGGCTCCAAGGCACCGAAAAAGAAGACCTCTGCCCCCGCAAAACCGGCGGGTAGACCCATAAATACAGCGAAAACAAGTAAAGGGTTAGCTATGCTCAAGCAGCAAAAAAAAACCACCCAAGAGGCCCCTGTACCAACATAAGCAGTACAAGAAGCGGCCACACTCATAGTCAACTTCCACACGGAGTCTAATAATAACAAGATTATGGAGATGATGGATAAGGCGATTAAGATGATTAATGCATTCGTAGAAATGGCACGAAAATGCTAGCGAACCGAACGGAAGATCTGTGCATAGGGTCCTGGAATTCCGGCAGAATTTTCAAAAAATCAACCTTTTGGACGAAATAATAAAAAATAGATTAGAGTCCGATATCGTTGCCCTTCAAGAAACCAAATTAGTGGAAAGAAAGAACACTAAATTTCTAGGCTACGATATCTATAGAACGGATCACAGAACTATATCAGGAGGAACAGCCATACTAGTTAAAAAAGGAATAGAACATGAACATATCCCAACATTAAATGGACTGGTTACAATGGAAGCCACACTAGTAAGACTCAAGGCCAACAACGAAATACTAAAAATAGTATCAGCTTACGTCAGATCTAATGATCCGATATTCGACGAAGAATTGCGCCCAATCCTCAACACAGAAGAGCCTACAATACTTATAGGGGACCTGAATGCGAAATCTCCCAACTGGTTCGATAGAGCAACCAACAACAACGTAAGACGACTTTGCGGCCATCCCGAAAACAGACCTAACGATTCGACGCACAATCTAATCGTCCTGATCCTGGGCGCAATAAAATTAAACTATTCGCAGTCCACAACAAAAAGAAGACAAGTTGGCCAAACTTCAGAAGAATAGTGAGCGAAAACATCGGTAACATTCCAACAATAAACAACATCGCAGAACTAGAGGACAGCGTAACAAAACTAGAACTAGTATTATACCCAGAGTAGGGATAATACACACATCACCCGAAAAAATAAAAGAACTAATAAAGCTGACAAACGCCAAAAAAGCCCCAGGACCAGATCACGTCACAAACAAAGCACTAAAAAATCTACCTATAAAAGCTATTGTTTACATTACCAACATTATAAACAACATCTCATGCTAAGATTCATGCTCATTTTCCAGACAGATGAAAGGAGGCAAAAGTCATCATGATTAACCCTCTGTTTATCGGGTGTGGTATGTGAGTCTACGACAAAATAAAACTTTTGGATAATTCTCTCATTTTATATTTTTAAATTTCTACCTTTTCAGTACCTTCCTAGAAACTAAATACCATTCGTTTTTTTTTACAAAACTATTTTTGAAATTTCTAAATAGCTGCTGCATGGCCGTTTGTTCTGATAGACCCCACCCGATCAAATGTGTTACAATATTTGCACTGCTTCTTAGTTGTATTTTTCTTGCAATCTTGTTTCACTTGGCAACCCTGTGCATTTTTGTGAACTGGATTATTCGCTTGTTTCGAGAAAATACATGCATTTAGCAATGATATGGCTACCGTATCATATATAACGAAGAAAGGAAAAAATGTAATTGCTGTTACCACTGTGCACGGATGTGATCGAATTGATGAAGATACTTGTGATCAGAAAAACCCAGAAATAATTACTGTTTACAATTCCACAAAGAGTGGAGTAGATGTTGTAGACAGAATGATCACATCATATTATGTTTCCAGAAATACAAAACTTTGGCCAATGGTAGTAATTTATAATCTCCTTAATCTCGCAGCAATTAATGCATTGGTAATTTACAAAGACAACAACCCAGATGGAGAATTTTCCAAAACCCGAAGATTATTATAAAAAAACCTATGTATGGAATTGGTACAGGAGAGTATACGACAGAGATCAGTTGACACGCATTTGACAAAAGCTGTGCGTGCTTCGGCCTTGAGACTCTCAGGCATTGAGGTCGACGTTGTACCAGAGCCCCAGCCGGGTAAGAGAGGAAATTGTTAATATTGCAAAAGATGCAAAACTTGCTTTTTTGCAAAATTTGCAAATCCTGGCTATGTATGGACCATATATTGGCATAGCATAAATGAGTCTGTGACTCATTTATAAAATTAACACAATAGGATACAGCGAGGCGATGACATGCCTCCTTGGATCATACCTAGCGAACAGAAGGTTCAGGGGTCGAATAGGGGCAACCCTGTCCGAAGTCGGGACCCTGGAAGCAGGTGTGCCTCAGGGAGCTGTGATGTCGCCGTACCTGTACACCATCTATACGGCCGACACTCCAAAAGAACCAGGATCCCTGCTGAGTCTTTACGCTGACGATACAGCAATAGCTGTCAGCTGGAGAAACTTAGATCATGCAGCTAACCATCTGCAGAAAGCATTGAATAGATTCCAAAGAGCGTAAAATGGAAAATAGCCTTAAACCCGGACAAAACACAGACTGTAATGTTTAGTCACAGAAGAAGTGTACCAAACCGAGAAATTACGATTGGAAACACCCCAGTAGATTGGACCAACGAGGCAAAATACCTAGGGTGTTGCTCGACAAGAAACTGACGTTCATCCAACATATAAATCAATAAACATACAATACCAAAGAGCTGAAAAGTCAGCTCTCAACGTTCATCGGTAGAAGAAGCAAACTGAGATTTAAAACCAAAATCAGGGTTGCAAACAGCATCATCCTGCCAGTCCTATCGTATGCCTCTGCTGCATGGGGACACACCTGTCAATCTAACAGGAAAAAAATAAAGACAGCACAAAACCAAATAATTAGAGATGCCCTGAAGCTACCAAAATACGTACCTCTGAGAAATTTATACAGAGACTCAGGACAAATAAGAATCCTTCACATGCTAGACAAGAGAGCACATGAACTATTTAACAGACTAAACAACCACCCAAGCAGTATGTTAAGAGAGCTGACTAACTACAACGAAAACATCAGGACGATGCACAGAAGACCTAAAAAGCAGATAGCCAGATATAGGGGGATCCCTAACGAATAAATAAAGAATAAGATGAATGCAGTCAATTAGAAAACAACAACCAAAAAACTCTGTCGAGAAGGTACGCTTTTTAGGTTTCTAGGTTTTTAGGTTAGGACTCTGGCGAGAGGATATAGGTGCCAAGGCACTTAGGTAACTTCACACACGGGGTGTGTGAAGGCCCTATACACTCTGGAATGAACACCCCCATACACCCACATACCATAATAATAGGAACAAAAAGGGTAAACATTGTTGCCCGGTATGTTAAAGTCCTGAAGCTACAAGGAAGACCCCCATAACCAAAAGAAAAAAACTTAAACTTAAACTCTTTTACTAAACCTTTTTACGTAATTAAATTCACTCGTTTTCTATATAGAAGGTCCGTCAGGCCTTCTATATACCGCAACTGCGGACTAGGCCCTTAAAAAAGATTAAATGAATACTGATCTACTTGCTACATCCGAGCACTGAGGTCATGTGCGGTATTATATATGGGCTTGGTGGCCGGAGCCTTCTCGGGCGACCAGACGGCGAGGAGAACAAAATTTATTTTGCCAAATCGGCGGCTGGTGACCGAGCACACACTCCTTTCCGGACATGGAGTCGCCAGCTTAGACTCATGCCACACTGACATAAGGCGCTTTTGGCAAACTTGCATGTATCTTGAAAAACACCACCATTCCTGTAAAGTTAAAGAAAAAGGTGTATAACACATGCATACTACCAGTTTGTACCTACGGCTTGGAGACAGTAGCCCTTACCAAAAAATCTGCTAAAAAATTAGAAATAACGCAAAGGTCAATTAAACGAATCATTCTTAGAATATCACTGAGAAACAAGATAAGAAACATCAAGATAATACTTAGAATGAAGATTAGTGATATTGTGGAAGAAATTACAAAAATGGCAAAATGACAAAAAAGGCGCTGTGCAGGTCACGTAGCTCGATATAATGACAACAGGTGGACACCAAGAATTCTAAAATGGAAACCAAGGACTACAACAAGAAGAATGGCAAGACAAAAAAGTGGCAGGCAAAAAGATTGGCGCAATATAGAGAAAGATGGAAGCCATTGGGAGAGACCTACATTCAGGAGTGGATGGAAAATGGTTGACAAAGACAGAAAACTGGGGACAGAAATTGCTGGGTTGGGAATAGGGTAGGCAACACAAACCGGAACGTTTGTGAACGGCTACTCTTGGTTTGTTTGGAGAGCTGGATCGTAAGTAAGTAAATAACATACAACTTCAGACGTTGGGGTCACTATAAAAATTTAAATTAAAATCATCTAGATCTTTCAATAGAGCTTACATTGAGGTTAACTAGTTGCTTAGTCAAAGGTCTTTTAAGTAGAAGAGTAGTAGTAGAGTGGTAGAAAACAGAGAACCAGTTTCTCGAAATCTTTGTATAGCATTGGATCTCGTTCTTTACAAAACGCCAAGCATTTCTTCCATAAATCGAATTGAACGCACATATTTCCTCATAGCCATTTCCTTCATTGGAGGTTCCAAAACAACTGAAGATGACTCCCCCTCAACTGAGGAGGAAATGGACACCTAAAAAAGAACCAAAACGATACCTAAGCCATGGGCAAGGACGTCGAATAAAATAAGGTTACCATTATTCAATGCAACCTCCAACACAAAAAGGTGGCAACGGCGTCACTATGTCGCCGCCTGGATAAAACGCAGGATGCAATAGCACTAATCCAAGAACATTGGATAAATAAGACCAAAATAACTGGTCTTAGGAGCCTAAACGGTCAAATTTTCCGCTTACCAAGCAATCAACAACCGAGAACAGTAATATTTGTTCCCAAAAAAATCAAAGCCTCCCCCATGGCGCAGTTTTGCACCTCAGACGTAACTGCGGTTAAAGTGAAGTGCCCATGGGGAAAGGGCAAAAATTAAGAGTTGATACCAGCATCAGTCTACCTACCCTCATATGCAGCCACCCTACCACCAACAAGGGAAATGGAAGATCTGGTAGACCATTGTCTCAGTCAGAAAGTAGAACTTATTATCGGCTGCGATTCGAACTCTCACCACTTAGGCTGGGGCAGCAAAGACAACAACGCTCGAGGTAAGTCCCTTTATGACTATATTATTATAAAAGATTTGTATATCTTAAATAAGGGCACCGAACCTAGCTTAATTAATGTTCGTAGCCAAACAGTCATAGATATTAGGCTGGCAACAGCTGAAATATCGAATAAGATTCAGAACTGGCAGGTATAGGATAATATTTCTATGTCTGACCACCGCTGGCTAACCTATAATATTAGTCTGGAAAAAAAGCCTTATCAAATCGCGCGACCCTAGGAGGACGGATGTAGAACTCTACAACCGACTCTAAGAAGATGCTCTGCGGAATGAAAAGGCTTCAACCCCAGTAACTAATATAGAATTGGAAAGGTATACCGTATCTATCCAAAACAAAATAAGCTATGCTTATAAAAAATCCTGTCCAATAAGGATGGTCCAGGAAAGTTGCAAAACCAACTCTTGGTGGTGCACTGAATTGGAACACTTTAGAAAGATAGCAAGAACAGCTTTTAATAGAGCGAAACGCACCAACCTCAAAGGGGATTGGGATTCTTATCAATCAAATCTCAGATAGTTTAAAAAAATGTCTGCAGACAAAGACAAAGAGCAGTTTGGAGAACCTTCTGTGAGGAAATCGAAGATTTCCAGCAGGCTTCCAGGCTACAAAAAGCGCTCTCAAAGGACCCACATCGGCATGTCGGTATACTAACGAAGGAAGATGGGAACAAAATTTCCAACCTTCGCGAAAGTGCTGAGGTCCTGATGAAAACACACTTTCCCGATTCTAGTGTCTCAACAGCACCAAACCGGATGGAAGAAACAATCATACCCTCAACAAACGACTGGCATCTCGCCAGAACAATCATTAATGAGAAAAAGGTAAAATGAGCCATATCGTGCTTCACTCCTTTCAAATCACCAGGGCCTGACGGCATATATCCAGCCCTACTACGGTGGGGACTGGATATCCTTCTGCCGCACCTCGTGGAAATATTCAGAGCTTCTTTGGTTCTGAGATATATTCCTAAGAAGTGGACAGAGGTACGTGTGGTCTTCATACCAAAACCAGGTAGGATGGACTACACCCTACCAAAGGCTTT